CCCCCTCTTCTCCGACGCAAAGGGGCCACAGACAATTGCTTTACTGTTCCTTTTCGGTCCCTTTTTACACGGACAACGATGCGAATAACGTTGTGCTGCATTGCCCTTGGTGTTGGATGGTGATGGGGTAGATACTTCTCCCACATCTGCCTTTCAGTAACGTGTAACAACGATTCACGTCATTTGTTTATATTCTATAGATCCGCTTCTGCTCCTATATTCAAGTAACTGGATGAATAAGCAAATAGGGTTTGACCTACAAACGTATTTTACATACCAGACGCTTTTGAATTAGAAGAAATAATAAAAACTGAAGTATTTTAGTAGGATTTTCAAAACTTCAGACATTATTTTAGAAGAATTATAGGTACGGAAAATAACTTTTGAACTGTTTTGATATTTAGTTCTTGGTTTATCATTAAGAAAAAATTACCTCTGAGATATCCCTAAGCAAATAAAGATATTATATGGGGTTGGAACGGTAAATGAAGAGATACAATACATCTTTTTTATTTTAATTTGTTAATTGAATAGGTTTATATGAGTGTATTAACGTATGTATTTGTGAAAAAGTCATTTTGTTACCACTCGTGCATTGATATTGGAAATTTGAAAAACACACTCGTAGCTTCGTGGATTTATCAAAATTGTTCAATGCTCTCTTGGTATTGAATAAGATAATTCTGGTTGGGTATGAGACGTAACAATTTTAACGTTACAGTCCGCGCATGCCCAGAAGATCAAACGTGTATTAATATTGAATGCTATACGTAGTGCTTCATGCTGTGCAAAAAACTTTATTAAGGACCCTTCACCATAGTCGTGCACAACCTAAAATAAAAGGGGGTGCCAACTACTTATTTGGGGTCCTTTTCTATTAAAATTTATTTGCATATGTCAGGTTTGCGTGCACCTGAAACAATTTTCTGTCCATTTTTAATGCATTTCGGGGGGGGGGTGAAAGAGCAGACGGTTACGATTTGGACGCATTTTCTAGCATGATTTAGTACATATATCGTGTTTTGCTGTTTCCGCTGATTTTTTATTTTTTGAATCAATGAATTAATGGAACAGCAAGTGTTGACTTTTAGAACTTAGTAAAAGGTCCTTTTTTTTCAAACCTTATACTCCTAGAAAGCAAGGCAATAATTCGTACTCAAAATAGATATAGTAAATGCGTGATAGACAAATGAGTCCATCTATTTCCTCTCACTAAATTTTAAAGTGTATCTACATTCTTTCTCTAACTATGTAATTTTATGTAAGCTTGCTTGTATTTACGAAAATAAATTATTACGTAGGCTACGGGGCCCCTTCCAATTTTAGTGGGTGTTTAAGGCTCCCTGCTCAATTCGAACTGTGCGCACACATGTGTCCCAAGCCCAAAGTTAATCACCCTATTGCAGCCTCCCTCCCGCTTCCCAGCGAATCACCTTTCACCTTACCTGAGAAAGTACAGTCAGACGTTTTCTTCATAAGGTGTTTCTGTGGGAGAAAACATTTTTCTTAACTTTTCGTTCATAAGTAGCGCAAAAAATGTTCTCGATCCAGTTCAGAGAAATCTCGACTACACGTGAACATAGCAGAATCTTCAGAATTTTGTATGTTAAGTCTGCTGGATAAGAAAATGCTCATGATAGGAACTTTCAAGTTTTGTTTCTACAAACATTTTAAGTGTGGTTTTTTGTGTCAGTACTCTAAAAGGACGTGCCAATATTTCTTGAAAACAGGAAGATGTGCATCAATTATTATATAGTATTAAGCAGAGCGGAAGGGGCTGCAGTCGGGCCCTACCTTTTTGGGGAGGTAGGTAAACGGCCCCAGCTGCAGTCGGTGCAGGCGCGGTGCGCGGCGGCGCTGGGCGGCGCCCGCGTCGATTCGCGCGATTTCGAGCCGCGAGGAACGCGCTTTCCGGCCTCCCAGAATAGCCGCGGCGGCGCTCAGAAGGGCGGGCGAACTCGCCCATCTCCCTCCCTCCTCCCTCCCTCCCTCCTCCCTCCTCCCTCCTCCCTCCCTCCCTCCCTCCCTCCCTCCTCCTCCCGCCCCCCGCCCGCCCGCCCGCCAACCGCCAGCCCGCCCGCCCGACAGCCCGGCCCGCCCGCCGCCTGCGGGGTGGCTGTGAAGCAGCGGCGATTCTTGACCTCTCGCCCGCTCATGCTCTCCGCTTGCATTTCCTGTTGGGGCATCTGCTTCAATCTGCCCACACACGCATCTTCTCGCACTTAAGCGTTGGATATTTTACAATACTTATTTTATCTACAGGTTGAGTCACTTCGGAAATAAGAAAATTCGCTTGAGAGTTTCGCTTTATGTAACGAATAATTATCTCCTTTGCCGTTTCGCTCTCAGAGGCTCAAACACGCGTAGAAAATGTCGTGAGTGACTTTGGCATTCTGGAGCAATTTTCTTGTTTCTCTCGGAACTTCACTTGCAGGAAATATTTGTGACACCCTAACTTTGTCTTGCTCCGATTCAAAACTCGTATTGTCGCAATTAACAACCAGTTCCATCATTCCACACATTTGTGTTTTTCTTGGAATATTTCCAGGTAAAGTAGGTTTTCTTTTCTGTTGACCCCCATCTGGCGTCGTAGTAACATTTTGTTTCTTCTCGAATTTCTAAATTGTCTTTTTCTCCTTTTTTGATTGTTTTTGACAAACGAGGATGTTGACATACTATCTACCTTCAAATCACACGATTATATTTTCCGCTGAGAATTTTGAGAAATTTTATGAGATTGTTTGGCAGTTGAGCATTTTTCTTTCTTTCTGTGCGTCACTTCTGTTCGATGTAGTATTTCAGAAACGATTAGAACAGGTAATAATTGAAAAAAAAATTGTTAAAAGCAAGCGTCACAAGGCGGTATAAAATTCAAATTTGTGGTATTATGATTTAAAAAAATATATTAAAATGTTAATAAGGTCATTTATTGGTTTTGAATAGGGAATTCAATGTAAGAATGCGTATTACTATTGAATGTACTAAATTTGAGGGAGGGGAGGAAAATCATGGAGGTTTCAATTTATTCTTAGAAGTTAGAACGTATTTGTAGAGGTTTTTAATGAACGGCCATCGTTGCCATCGTAGCCATAGGCATTGCATCAAGGCGCCATAGCTTGCCTAGGCCTGAGGTGCACGTGAGCGAAATGGGCCCTCGCACTGTAACCACTACATGTGGACTTATGTTGCTGTCATGGTAATATGTTTTTGAGGTTGTAACCATCAAAAAGTTTAATTTTTTATTAACTAGCCCCTAATCATTCTTTTGACCTGAATTTTCCCCCTTTTTGCAAATCTCTTCACCTAGTCAACTTGTTTAAAATATTTTCTCTGCATAATTTAAACTTCTAGAACCTTACAAATTCCTAATTTTCTGTCCTGTTTTACATTCCTCTATGAAAAGCAGTCAATTTTAAATCTGTTTATGACTACCCCTTCTTCTACTCTTCTGTGTCCCTCTCCCTCTCTTACATTTGGTAGGCTTCCTCTTCTCCCATTCCAAAAGATGGCAGCCATCTAGCTGTACCCAGCATGTTTTACAGTGTTCATATTTTCCGACCATGTTGTGAACATTTATGAGTGATCCACGTTACTTGGGCAGTAAGCATTTTCAATTTTATTTATTTGATATTATTTATTTGCTTTTCCCACTAAATTCGCTGTATTTCTTTTTGTTCAACTTATGTTAATGTTTCAATTTTATCTTCATTGTTAGAGACCCACTGAGGATGGGAAAAGTGTTTCCAGTTAACTCTGGGTAATAATTAATAAAATCGTTAAACTTTTTGGGGATGATTATTTCCTTTCCATATTACCTTCAAAATGATATCGGTTAGATACATGATGTAAGAGTTCAACGTTTTGATTGAAATTTAATTCTACCATATTTTAAATGCATTAATAGTAATGTAAAATACAAAGAAGAATATGAAAGAGTATCAATCATTGACTGCTTCAAAATGAATCAAACAACAATCTTGCTGGAAGATGTGATATGTCTTGAATAAGTATGTTTAAAACAAGAAACAAGCTGGATTATCTCCTAAATATTTAGAAGCAATTTATATAGAAATTGTCAGTTCACGTATTACAGTGATTATTTACATCCTAAAAACATTTAGGAATTGATAATTACCGAATTCGTGCTGACTTTCATATATCTGCTTTTTCATCATATACAAGAAAAGTATTATGGTTTGTCAAAGTTCACGTGATTCATGTTGATTTTTATTATGTTTCTCCCTAATAAATAAATAATGAAATGTATAAGAATTTTGACGAAAGTGGAATATGTTGACGAAGAGGTAAATGTCTTCACTCCATACAGGTTACACATTACCGATGATTTGAAAAAAGATGTTTTATTTCCTGGTGTCGGCGAGATTTTTTTTATTTATTTGAATATTCTTTAGTTAAACCCCGTACCTCTAAGGTTGCAGTTTTACTGTCGTTACATTGATTACGTAGAACGATATTTTAGACTTCGTAATATCTACGGAATTGTGTACTCTGCGATCATATGAAATTATTGACATTCAGAAATAAATTTAGTTTAATTCCGATGTACTCCTATTAGTACTCTAAATTGAAATAAATGCAGTTTCAATTAAAACAAATATAAAGAATTTCGAATTTTGGTTTAATATTTTTTTTACATTCCACCCACTTGTTAGATAATGAAGCTAATCTCTTTTTAAGTAAGGCGTCTCCTGTCGAGCTTCCCGTTGCGCTCCATTTATTCGACCCCGACCGCGGCGGTAGGCGGGGGGTGGGTGGAGGGGGGGGGCGGCGAGGCGTCGAGGGCCGTGGGTGGCGGCGCCCATTAGGGGAGGGGCCGAGGCGACCACGTCCCCACCACGCGCGGCAGGCCGCGAAATTAACAATTCCGCAAAAGGCGCCCCTCCGCGCGGCGCGGCGGCGGCGGGGCGGCCCCCTCCGGGGCGCGGGTTTGCATTTTTGGGGCCTGGGCGGCGCCAGGCCGGGCGGCGGCGCGGCGGCGGCGGCGCGCGGGTCGCGGCGGCGCGCGCTCTTGCTAGTTGGTTCGCGCCTGCACTCGCAACAGCCGGCCGCTCGCCCGCTTTCAACAGGTAAGAAGAGCGCGCCCGCCGCCCCGCCGCCACCTCGACGAAGTGTGTGGAATTTCTCGTAAGACGCGTAAAGCGTTCGCGTTGCCAGAAGACCCACCTGGAGTGACAACGTTCATGCGGAGTGTTGACGTGGACTACGTGTTATCGTAAAGAAAGATCGCCCGGTGACATTTTGTAATAAGTGATTTCATGTTTGAAGTTTCATGAATGCCCACCGACAAAGGTTTGAACGTGAAAGGAGGAATATAAAAACAAATATAAAAGTATTTTCAAGTACCATCTACGCTAAGAGTGAATTTAGTCACATTTCTCTTCTCTTTTATTTTCATATCTACATATTTTACTCTCAATAACTATATTTTAGCGAGATAATAGTGTGTTATTGGTATACTATTTACTTTATTAATAAATTATATTTATAAAATTATCAAACGGAACATATTATTTTGGTATTTTTCTTGATTACTCTTTAATTTTTATTCAAATCAATTCTAAGAGGGTCTCCCGAAAGAAAGTTGTAAGGTTCGTCGCTCTTTCGCGTCCCCCCGCGGGGGCGGGACGGGAACTTCGCAGGAGCATCTCACAAGCCAGCGGCACCTGCCGCCCACGCGCCGCGCCTCTCGCAGCCTCCCGCGGGGCGCTGGCTGCTCCTGACGGCGGCGGCGGCGGCGGAGGCGCGTTATTTTAAGCCCCGAGCTCTGCGGCGCGCAAGAGCCGCTGCTCTGACGCAGAGGCGGCGTCCACTCCCTGAAGGAGATCAGCGATCCCCCGCACCTCACAGCCGACCGCAGCAGACAAACGCCCCCCTCACACGTCTTTGCGTCTAGACAGAGTATTGCAACACAGTGAAAATCGCAACGTCGTAATACCACTATTTATTCAACATCTACTGACGAAATTAATTTTATCTCTAACACTCTAGTTTGTAACAGTTGTGAACCAAACATAACATTGCTCCATAATGTCCTTTAATATTTTTCTACAAACATGAAGACCAACAGTTTTTAAATAATTTTAAATTTATTATTTACACATTAACTGTTATGGGGAGATTTGGCAAGAAATACTAAAATTTATTTTCACATTTCTGTTTTTGAGGAGTGTGTCAAATCCTTTGGTTTCTGGGAAGAGGACCTATGTATATAAATATTTGTGGGAAACGAGACTGAAATGTTTAATTAATGTTCAAGATTGATCTTTTCCTGACAGCAAGGGAAAATGCCGAAACGTTGCGCGACTCACAACGTGTACTATGACTAACGCCATTCATTCAATTAACAATGTAATGCAAATTCGCTTGTTTAGAGTTGTAAAAAATCAGATGACCAAAATAAACGCTCCTTGTAATACACAAAAATGTGTTAAAATGAATTGTGCAGAAAATGAAGCTTTAGTAGATAAATATCCTCGAGAGGGACGTTGTTTCTTGGGAGAGTAATAATACTTTGAAAACTTGCTCTTCTGGTTGAAGTATATGTGCGCATTAGGGTCCGAAAGGGGGACAATTCATTGCGACGAGAAAGCAGGGGAGGTTAAGTAGGCTCTGCATCTGGTGCCAAGGACATGTATAATTGGTAGGCAAACGCACGCTTGGCACGGGTGGCTGAGGGGGGGGGGCGAGGCGCGGGGCGGTGCAGGGCGACAAGGGATCGAGGGGAGCGACGCCCCCGCTCTTAATGAGGGTTTTAGAAATCCGTGCTTCGCTTGGCAGGGAAAGGGAGAAATTGGTTCTTAAAAGTGAACGAACAAGGAAACTGGGAATTTAGGAATAAGGTAGAGAATATAAAGAGGGAATCATAATCATAAGCCCCGCTGGCGAGAGGGCTCTATTTGCTGACGGTGAAAAAGTAATCAAACAAATTATCAGAAGAGCAAAAAAGGCGAGGCAGTCAAGGGCCGCTAAATGTGAGAATTGATTGCGAGAAATGAGAGTGGAAACATGATTTGCATTTCGAGTGCATGATTATTTGAAACCGTGAGCCTCGGAAGAAACTTCTGGAAATCATAAATAGGACTAGAATCTCTGAGAAGGAAACTCCTTGCTCTAGGAACTTATCAAGCATGACAAGGACAATAAATACATTGGGTTACCGAAATACATCAATTCATGAAACATGAATTTATGAAATCCAACATGAAGCATCGGAAATAGACTGGTTTCAGCTGGACAGACGTGAAAGAACGTACAATGAATATGTACAATGAACGTACATGTAATATAAATAAACATTTTAATGTGATAGATGCATTACAATGATGCAAGCTGATTTTCTTAAAACTGATAAAATATAAATAAATATACATATGTTAACAGGCATATTAACAATAGGTTACGTAAATTAAACGCAAATCAAACGTAAATTAAATTAGATGATGAACTAATTTAACGATAGAGACGCGTATATTGTAATCAAACACTCACAACGTAAATGAGAATGAAATAATGTAAAACATGTTCGCATTTCTGACTACGAAAAAATAAAATAGTATACATTGATTCAATTATCATGCTGATTTTGCATATCACACGCCCTTCTACTTCAGTGGATACTGTGGTTAAAGGTCCAGTTTATATCTGGTGAAACTCCGCATTCCGCATTTCACTGCCCCGGCGCTCCGCCCTGCGGGACCTCGGAGCCCGCGCTGCGACGCATCTCCGCGCGCGGCCGCGGGGCGCGCTGGGGCGGCGCCCCTCCCGAAATATGGGTCGCGTATTTTTAGGGCTCGCGCGCGCGCCGGAGCTCGGCTTCTTTGGGCTGCAGGACTCGCCGCGCCCACGCCGTGCGCGACGCCCCGCCGCCATCGCTCGCCACCGCCGC